CTTTCTTTCTTTCTTTCTTTCTTTCTTTCTTTCTTTCTTTCTTTCTTTCTTTCTTTCTTTCTTTCTTTCTTTCCATCTTTTCTGTCTGTACTAAACGGTTTGCTCACCCGACACACTGTTTAGATTTTAGTTTTAAATTGTAATGCCTAAAATGAATTAGTTTTACATTAAAAAACAAGAATATCTCATTTCAGGATATCTATGCTTTGTTGTTAGCCATAGTATATTTAAAATGGTCTGGAGAGTCAATAAAATTACTGACTTTAATGATGCCAAAAATCCTCAGACTCTATTCTAAAGCAGCCATCAGTAATGATGCAAATGAAGAAAAGTGGCAGATGCGAGAGTTTATTACACTCCTACACTAGGAAACCAAGTTCTCTATCCAGGCGGGGCAGTTCCCTATCCTTGCAACTAAGCATTATTTTCTTCCAAGTTCTGTTAGAGAGAAACCCACTTGTACTCGTTGGCAGTTAACTCGCCATAGGTACAAGCAATTGGAAATCCCTTAATGTTGTTCTACCATAATTCGATTTTCTATACATTCAGAAAACTCAATAGTGGTCCTTTCCCCTATTTGCTATTATAAATGGACAGAAAGCCTCATTGGTCCGTGCCGCAAAGATGGATTCTATGTTTATGTTTATTTTAATCAGCTTATTTAATCAGTTTATTTTAATTTAGTCTAGCCAAGTGAAGACAAGTTCCTAAATGTAATTCACAATTTGTTCTGCAAAAGTAAACAGAACACAGTGTACTAGGAATTTAAACATGAGACAGTTTAATGTTGGTTTTGTTATAGGCTTTTATTTAATCTTGTTTTTAATATATTACTTATTTCTTAAAGTTTAGTGATTACACTGGATTATAAATTGACTAAATAAATGACCTAAATAAATGCCGATATATAAAAATAAATGCCATTACATATCCTGATCTGATAATTCAAGAGAAAGTGGTTTGATAAATAGCTATTCAGATTCAATCGCTGCAGTTGTCAAGTTAGCAATACGGTTGTTAAGTGAATCTTGTTTTCCTATTGAATTTGCTTGTCAGAAGATTGCAAAAGGTGATCACATGACCCCGGGATACTGTAGCCATGAACAAGTTGCCAAGCATCCTGATCACTTGACCATGCGGATGCTACAATCATCATAAATGTGAAAAATTGTCAAAAGTAACTTTTTTCAGTGCTGCTGTAACTTTGAATTTTTCAGGCAACGAACCGGTAGTAATGCCAACAGGAACCCACCCCTGGGCATAAGAGACCTTTAATGCATAAACAAGGCAGGTTTTGATTTTTGATTCTAAATTTGCAGTTATATCAACTTAGTTTGCTAATTAAAATCCAAGATGCTCAACATGACATTTTATCAAGCTTCATCCAAAGTAATATAGTATTTGAAATCTAAAATTAGTAGGCAGAAAGATAAGCATGGGGTGGCATTAAACAAATATACCACATTATTTTCCCAAAATGTGGTAGTATCATGTTAAGGTTTAACAACACACCTCTTTGCAGTCCCCGCTTAAAAGTGGTTACTGAGCATCAGTCTTTTTTTTTGGCAATTTGTTTTTATTTTTAAACATAAAAAAACAACATTAAAAAAATTCTCATCCATTACATACAGCATGTCGTTTGGTTACAAGTGTTTTTGCATCCATATTCTCAATTACATTTACAATCACAGATTTTCTAATATAACTAAATTCCTCGCTTTCATTGTACAACGTATATTCAATTACGATTAACATTTCTTTCTCAATAAACCTAATTCCCTTACATT